TCACGTTCAAGCACCCTGAGGAAAGAAAGTTCACTTACACGAGGACAGCCCAAAAGCAGTTAGTGCAGATGGTGTCCACGATGAGAGCAAGTAAGATGTTGGCTAGTAGATGCATAAGATATCTAGCTAATTTGGTGGATACGTCTGAGGAGATCAAGATAGGACTAGAGGACATTCCATTAGTCAAATAATTCGTGGAAGTCGTTCCAGAAGAATTACCTGGACTACCTCTAGAGCGAGAGATTTCTTTCAAGATAGAATTGATGCCAGGATCAGCACCAGTTTCTAAGGCACCATACCGGATGGCTCCGGCTAAGCTTAAGGAGCTTCAGGTGCAACGGCAAGAGTTAATAGATAAAGATTTTATCTACCTGAGTTATTTGTCATGGGGAGCACCATTTTTGTTCGTGAAAAAGAAAGACGGTACAGTAAGGATGTGTATCGACTGTTGGGAGTTGAATAAGATTATGATCAAGAACAAGTATCCACTGCCACGGATCAACGATCGATCCGACCAATTGAAGGGAGCTGCATATTTTTCCAAGATTGACTTGCGTTCAGGATACCACCAGCTTCGAATTAAGGAAGGCGACGTATCAATGACAGCCTTCAGAAATCGTTATGGACACTACGAGTTCCTTGTGATGTCGTTTCAATTGACTAATGCTCCTGCAGCATTCATGAACTTGATGAACCGAGTATTTAAGGATTTTCTGGACAAGTTTATCATCATCTTCATAGATGACATTCTGAAGGAGGAGCACGATGAGCATTTGAAGACTGCTCTACAGATCTTGAAAGAGAACTAGTTGTATGCCAAATTCTCAAAGTGTGAATTTTGGCTAGAAAAGGTACAATTTTTAGGGCATGTGGTATCCAAAGAAGAAGTTGTAGTGGATCCCGCAAAGATCAAAGCAGTTAGTAACTGGCCAGCTCTGAAAAGCGTGATAGAGATACAAAGTTTTCTAGGTTTAGCAGGGTACAACCAACGCTTTGTTGATAGATTTTGAAAGCTTGCAGCGCCACTCACGGCTCTCACACGGAAGGAAAGGAAGCATGAATGGACTGAGAAGTGCGAAGAAAGCTTTCAGGAGCTAAAAAGGAGACTCACTAGCGCTCCAGTGTTGACCATTCCAGATGCAGAGGAAAGAAATTTTGTAGTCTATAACGATGCTTCCAAGAAGGGATTAGGAGCCGTTCTCATGCAATGAGGAAAAGTGGTCGCCTACGCCTCACGACAACTTAAGGATCATGAAAAGAATTATCCGATGCACGACTTAGAGCTTGCAGTGGTGGTTTTTGCACTAAAGATATGGCGGCATTATCTGTATGGAACGAAGTGTAAGATCTACACATACCAACAAAGTCTCAAATACATTTTAACACAGAAGGAATTGAGCATGAGGCAACGAAGATGGCTGGACTTGGTAAAGGATTATGATTGTGAGATCCTCTATCACCCCAAAAAAGTAAACAAAGGATTATGATTGGTTAGAGGTAAAATTTTTCAACTACTTTGAACGCGAAAATGAGGATCCTAGAGCGAGATTTTTCATTTATTCCAACTTTGAACTTATAGTTCTTGATGTTTTGAATGTTTTTCTATGACTGTGAATAAACTTAGCTTCAACTCTAAATGCAAGTTTTAAGCCATTTTAAAAAATGCCTCAAAGCTGTCCAAAACAACTTAAAAAAAAAACTGCCAGCCGAACGAGTCCGTTAGAGGCTAAATCTTAGCTTTCTCTGAAAATGATAATTTTAGATCCTGACGAGATGAAGAATTCCCGGACAAAATAGATTTTCAAAATCCGTCTCTAAGATATAGTAAAATGCATATTTCTGAAACTGTATAGTTTTAATCGGACAAAACTGAAACAATTTTGGTTACCCTTATGATTTCAGTAAAATACTATGGTTTTAGACATCGCTTTAAACGAAAAATATTCATGAAGGAAGTTTTCAAGAAATTGGTTTCTAAAACATAGTTTCACAGTGGTTTACAAATTAACTATAAAATGACTTGTGAAACAGTTTCAAAGTCGGCATTCGAAAGAAAATATATTTATGACTGATAATGGGATTTTAGTACTTATAACTAAATAAGTAAGCAATTAGTTTTATGATAACCGAACAATAATTTCTTTTAAAACTTAAATAGTGTTCGAGCAAAACATCCTAACGAAAACTTACCAACTAAATGTATTAGGCCCTTAGAATTTATGAAGATTAGATACGGGTTCAATACCCATATTAGTTCAAGGACTCCAGCTTAAGTCTAAATTTCAACGGTCTAAGAGTTAGAACGCTGTTATTAAGTTTCTAGGCCGAATTAGGCTTTAATATCAGAATAAGCCCAATAAGGTAATTTATGGAGAATTAGCTACTAGATTAGATAATTGATTTCAATATAGACATATGTATGTTAAGGGCAATTAAGGAAAATAATATTTTGAGGATTTAATAAATTGATCCTTATAGTAAATTTTTACAATCCTTTGATAAAGGAAAGGAAGAAACGCCTTAAGTAAAAGACTAGATTCCTTCATAAGTGTGCTAAAATGAAATAGCAAACGGCAATTAATCTCACACTCTTAATGGGTGTTCATTTTCAGAAGTAAGCAAGTAAGAGAATATGTTGTTGGGGGAATAGTGGATTCCAGCTCTGTGAATCAAGACAGTATGAATCTCGCCTACAGTATGAATAGATTTTAAAGAAAAAGTTACACATGTTATATATGCATGTATATGCTTTATGCGATACCATGCCATATTGCATACACCTTAATAAGTCAAGTGGAACTTATAAGAATACACTCAGTTGAGTGTTGTACCAGCCTCTGAGAGGGAGGTAACTCAGACTCTGTAAGGGTGATGGAGAAAAAAAAGTATGTAGTAAGTTAAATCACGGTGTCGATGGGGACCTTGCAAACCCCCACATCCCGATAATTGCGCGTACATGGTACGAGCACTCGGGCTCATCAGTAAGTAAGATAAGATCATATAATAAGAATTTAATAAGATATGATCATAATTAAGGATAATTGGCTCATGCATACTTATTCATGTGAACTTTTTGTTATTTTACGAGAGATAGTTCCTACTTGCTGAGCGAAAGCTCATCATAGAATATTTATATGGTATGTAAGCAACCTGCACCTAATGTTTGATGGAGTGAGGGTGAGACAGTGGACGAACATTGTGGAGATTGAGGAATGGGTACCGCTCGCAATTATTTCCACAATCAGTTTTACGTGATAAATAGTTTTGCTAATTATAATTTTAAAACTATATGTTAAATGGTTATGTGGATTATGACTGTAAGTAAGCAAGACTTAAGGATTAAGTATATACATATAGATATATCTATATGCTTTGAAAAACGGATATGTTAAGGTATGAATATTTTAATTAAGAAAGCAATTCGAAACTTATGTCTACTATAAGACTTTAAAAAAAATGTTCCATAAATTTTAAGAAATTCCAACAAATATAAGTTAATGTTAGCTACAATGACGGCTACGGCTACTTAGAAGGGTCGTCACACGTGTTGGCCTTTTTCCTTCTGTTTTGACAAAGAAATTTAATTAAGCAATGCAAAAGTCAAGTTGCAGATTTTTTAGGCTGAGAAAGTCTTAAGATTTTACTCTCTTGAAAGTTAAAACGAACCAATACAAAAGTCAAGTTGAAGATTTTTTAGGATGAGAAAGTCCGAAGATTTTACTCTCTTGAAAGTTAAAACTAACCAATAGAAAGTTACAACTCGCTAACCACTATTCGTAATCTTTCACAGTTTTTTCTTTTTTTTTGTTATACGTTAAGATTTATTGTGGACAATAAAAAAAGTTCATACAAAAACAACTAACATATGGGAGATTATTTGATACGCCGGTGTACCGGTAAATCAAGTTTTTTTAATCGTTAGATATGCGTATTTTTTTTTATTTTTACGTGATTTTATGCATATCCAACGGTTAAAAAATCTGACTTATCATTATGTTAGCGTATTAAAAAAAGTTATTAACATATCCGCTAAAGAGTAAAGGCAGTAAGAAAAGAAAAACAAACTTTCCAAAGCTATAACAAAAGTGAGAGTGACTACAAAGGAACAATTATTTGAGGTGAGTTGACTATTTCTAAGGTTTATTTGGATAAATTTAGAGTTATTATCACTTTTAATCTTTGAATTTTGTATTTTTATCACTTTGGTTCTTAAACTTTTAATTTTAGCAAACTACTCCTTAAAGTTTTTTTTTTTTTTTTTTTTTTTTTTTTTTTTTTTTTGTTTTTTCCACTAAAATTGAAGGAAATTTTTTGTTTTTTTTTTTTTTTTTTTTTTTTTTACTATTTTGGTCATTGGCACTAAGATTGACGGAAATTTTTTGAAATTTCACATAGATAAACATGTCCCAATTGCATAGTGACTCTACTTTTTACTGAATTAGTTACATTAAATGTAAAATATTCTCTCTAATATTAATTCATTAATTTCGGGACTAATAGTGTTAATGACCTTTAGTTTGTTAATACCACCCTTTTACTAATTACCAGATGAAAATCAAAATTACAAACCAGTGAATGATGGATCTTATATGTAGAATTCTACGTGAAAGGCATACCAACAAGAGAGAAAAGTAATAACAACATCGAAACACCACAACCAGGAATGCATCTATTGAAAGCGATTCTCAAAATCTCCAGAAAAGGGCCGTTTTAAAGCTGCTAGAATGGAGGACGATTCCTCTGATTGAAAACAATTGGTACGAAAGCATTATAATGCATAATCATATGGGCTATGGTCACTGGTCAAAAAATGCACTCCGGCGTAAACCATACAAAAAAAGGAAAAAAAAAAAGGGTCATAAAGATGTTATTAAAGGAGACCAATTAATCCTAGCAAGCAAAATTATACTGCAGACGTTATGATTTTTTTTTGTTTTTTTTTTTAATTGACTAGATGGGATAACATTTAGTGCCACAAAACATTGTCTACGTTACCCTGCCTCTCTAATTTTTTTTGGAAGGATTTGAACTTTGCACCTTTTACTGAAATTAGGTGTGAAATTACCGCTATACTACGTCTCCAACTATTATACTGCCTCTGTAACTCATGCCATCATAAATGGAATTATTTGGGACACACCGGTGTGTCTCACTAACAATTACTCCGTGTCTCCTGCTGTAATGAGGAATTACAATTCAAAGGTAATACATCTAACAAATGCAACAAAATACCTCAATGAATCGCATAGTTGATCATCACTGACTTTGAGTTCCACAATGCAGTAGTAATTCTTCAATGATAACCCTTTGAATTGTTACTCAGCTACTAGTTTTTGAAAAAAAAAATGTACGAAATCCGTAAGTTCAACATCAGCTAAGAATTATTTAGATGAAAACAGGAAAAGCCTATAAGAAAGAGACGGCAAAAATTCCGTATGATCGCAGATTCCGCCTCGATTACTCTAGCTTATAGTTCAAGTGGCTGGCAGAATTCACCAGTTTCACAAGCTCCGACGCTTCATCATACTTTACCTTCCGGGCCAATCCATCAACTACATTCTTAAACACTGCCGCTTTGAGAAGAACCCGACGATCAATAGCCTTCAAGCAAAGTTCATACGCCACAACAAGATCACCCGCGTTGCAACAAGCCGGAATAAGCGTTGCAAAAGTCACCAAGTCTGGACGACAGTTATTCTTTTGAAGTTCACCATACCATTTCATAGCTTCCTTCAAATTCCCACCATCACAGAATCCTTTAATTAAAGCATTGTAACTTACTAAATCAGGTTTAATTCCCTTTCTCTCCATCTCACTAATTACTTCATCGGCTTCTAATCCAGCATCGCCAATGAAAATTCCCCGCAACCTTGCATTGTAAGTTCTAACATCAGGAGCGATATTCTCTCCCTCCATCATGGTCCATAGCCTCTCTCCTTCAAGAAACTTGCCGTTCCTATAAAGTGCATTAAGAAGCGTATTGTACGTAATTAAAGAAGGTTCCATGCCATTGCCCTCCATTTCATGAAACATCGAAAGCGCATCATCGAAAGACCCCATCTCGCAGAATGAATGAATAACTATGTTGTACGAGAACAAGTCTGGTTCTACAGAAACTCTGAGAGGAAACTCCTTGAAAATCTCGACAACTTTGTCGAATTTCTTTGCGTCAAGGGCAGCCTTTAAGAGCACATTGAACGACTTGACAGTGCGCTCACAATTCAGCTCAGGCATTTCATCAAACAACTTGTGTGCATGTTCGAACATGCCCGATTCGCCATACAACGAAATGAGGCGATTTGCGAAGCCTTCGACGCGAATGCTGTCGTACTTCTTTTGGGATTCAAGGACGTCTTCGATCATAGAGAACTTCTTGGCGTTGGCAAGACGGCGAACCGTGCGCCGGTAAATAGAATGTTTGCATCGGAATTTTGGGTCTTCACATGATTTCTTGAACTTGTTTACCAGTTTCAGGAGCTTGGTTTCCTCGGGGAAAGCGCTTATGTCCGAGGATTTAGCTGCGACGTTGGATTTGGGTTTGACTTTGGTTTTTGCAGGGACTGATTTTGAGAAGATAGCGCGAAGACGACTGTTAACAGAAGACATTTTTGTATCCTCTTTTGTTCTTTCTTGCGGCTATATTAAGGTATCTTTATACTTTATCCCAACTTTTCTTTTTTTGGCTGATAAGTATGTCTTTTTTTTTCTTTTTTCTTTTTTTTTTTTCTGAATCTGATCAATATGTTTATTACAGCAAAACTTTGCACCGTTTTCAGTGGGTCCCCCGATTTTAAAATGTAACAGATATCTATTATATTTTAAAAACTTTTCAGTTGCTCGTACTATTTTTTTTTTTTTTGAAAAATTTCATTTTAGTACCCTTTCTATGATATATTAAAATTTAAGTTTATTACTTTTTATTTTTAAAAATTTTATATTGTATCTCTACCTTTTAAAAAATTGTTTTTAATATTTTAGAGTCATTTTTGAGACACAAAAAGATAAATTATTTTTATTGACCAGAATTTAAAAAAAAAAAATTTTAAACTTGTTATACTTGTAACTAAACACCCAAAAATCCATTAAAATAATCTGCTTTTTTCTTCAAAATTATGACATTTGAGTTTTATTTTTCATTTGTGCTTTTTTTTTCTCATTTGGTTCTTTTTTCAATAAGAATAATTTTGTCTTTTTATGTCTTAAAAAAATAGCGTCGAGATACAAAAAAAATTTTCTAAAAAATTGAGGTATTGGCATGAAGTTTTCAAAAATAGAGGGTACCAAACTTAAATTTGTAGTAATAAAGAGTACTATTTATTCGTGAGGACTCGCATTAAACGAGACGGAAAAAATCTACTTTAAACGGATCTGGATTATAAATGAGTTGATATTTTAACCCGTCACGGGTCGCGGGGCGGGGACGGACTTAGAGGTCCCCAACCATATTCTCCGTTTACCCGCCTTGTTTAATTATATTCTATTTTTAAATTAGATATATTATGTATAATACCTTATAATATATAATTTTAAGTATAATCTATTAAATAATATGTATGAAAATTTAAAATTATCTTTCTTTTTATTTTTTACTTAATGTTTTATATGTTTATATTATTTATTTATTTATTTATTTATTTTACAATGAAAATAAATTATCAAGTAAATGAGGCACTGCAAATACTCTGAATTTGTGACGGAGAAATCCGCTCCATAATCCGTTAATTTATGTGGGTTCATGAGGTGGATATAATAAGTGTTTTTGTTCACGGAGCAGGTTGGTGAAAAGACCACCTCGCCCAAAATCCGCCTTGTTGCCATTCATAACTAGTCCTCTCGTATTAAACCTCTTATCTTAAGATGTCAAGATAGATGTCGTTGACAGTTCTTACTTTAATATTTGAAAATGCAATTCAACCTTTGGTGCATTATTAGACTACATTAAATATAATTATTAACAAATAATTTTATTTAAGTTATTATAAATTACTATGATTTGAAAAATAAATTAAATAAAATTCATGAATCCCATAAATATTAAAAGTTAATTATAAACAAAAGGAAATTTGAAAAAAAAAAAAAAAAAAAAAAAAAAAAAAAAAAAAAAAGAAATTTAAAAAAAAAAAAAAAAAAAAAAAAAAGGAAAATAACATACAAAACCCAATCATAGCAAAGAAAAGAACATGGCTAATATGGTTCGCTATCAATCAATATGGGAGAGCTCACTCCGTCTGGAGAGGTCTCAATCAATGTGATACGTCGCAATGCCATGGGATTTGCTCGAAGAGGCTGTGACGGCGGTGGGGCTTGCCCAAGGGACAGCGACCTCGCATGACGGAGGGGGGATGATGGCCTTGCGCACCGAACAGTGTGGCAGATCTATATGGTGGGGTGTGTCGTTTTCCATGGTCTGGAGGGGTGACGGGTTGCGTTGGGGGTGACAGCTTTCCGTCGTCTATTAAGGGGTGACAAGAATTCCAAAGGCCAGGATGACAGATCTCCTTGTGAGGTTGTGGGGCTAATCAGACTGTGGGTTCGGGAAATATTCCAATCCCAGTCGAGGATTGACAATCTCATGATTTTTCATGGGATTATTAATCCCATGTAACAAACACGACCTTAAAAATTAAAGCAGTAGGAAAAGAAAAACGACCTTCCAAAGCTAACAAAACTAAAAGAGTGACTACAAAGGAAAACTTTGACGTAACTTGACTATTTCCATGCATTACTTGGATAAATTTTGTGAATAATAGTCTCTTACAAATTGCAGGATGAAAGTCAAAATGACAAGTAGGCCTTGACGGATCTTATGTCAAATTCTATGCAAAGGAAAGCCAACGAGAGAGCAATATCGAAACACCTTAACCAGGAACGCGTCCTTTGAAAACCATTCTAAGAATCTTCACAAAAGGCCCGTTTTAATGCTCCTACGATGGAGGATGATTCCTCTGATGTGCAACCATGACGAAAACAATTGGTGAATAGTGATATACAAGCTTAAGGTATTAAAAGATTAAAGAAAGCAATAGAATGCGTAATCACAGGCCACTGCTCAAAAAATGCACTCCGGCGTAAACCATGGGAAAGCGAAAAAAAACCCATGTCATAGAGATTTTATTAAAGGAGACTAGTTAATCCTGGCAAAAAAAAAAAAAAAAAAAATTATACTGCAGAATTTACGCTTTACGCCGGCAACCTGCCTCTTTAATGCATGTCATCGTATAGGGAATTATTGGTGACACACTGGTGTTTGTCACTGATAACAATTCTGCTTCTCCTCCAGTAATAAGGAATAACAATGGTACATCTAACAAATGATACAAAACACCTCAATGAATCCCATAGTGGATCATCATTGACTTTGAGTTTCACAACACAGTAACTCTCCAATGATAACCCTATGATGGATTTTTTAATCTTACATTATCATAACTTAGCAACTAGGCTTTAAAAAATGTCGGAAATTTCAACATCAGCTAACAACATTTAAGATGAAAACAGGAAAAGGCTTTAAGAAAGAGACGTCAAAAAAGTTCTGTATGACTGCAGATTCTACATGACCCTCAGCGACTCTAGCTCATAGTTTATGTAGTCAGCAGAATTTACCAGTTTTACAAGCTTCGACGCTTCAGCATACTTTGCCTTCTCGACCAAACCATCAACCACATTCTTAAACACTTCAGCTTTGAGAAGCAGCCGATGATTAATAGCCTCCAAGCAAAGTTCATACGCCATAATGAGATCACCCGCATTGCAACAAGCTGGAATAAGCGTCACGAAAGTCTGCCACTTGAACTACATTTATTCTTTTTAAGTTCATCATACCATTTCTTAGCTTCCTTCAAATTCCCACAATCACAGAATCCATTGATTAAAATAATGTAACTAAATACATCAGGTTTAATTCCCTTTCTCTCCATCTCACTAACTAATTCATCAGCCTTTAATCCAGCATTGCCACCGAAAATTCCTCGCAATCTTGCATTGTAAGTTATAGCGTCAGGAGTTCTTACTCTCCATCATGGCCAACAACTTCTCTCCATCCAGAAACCGGCCATTACTATAAAGTGCATTGAAAAGCGTATTGAAAGTAACAAAAGAAGGTTACTTCCAGTTGCTCTCCATTTCATGAAACGCCAAAAGCGCATCGTCTAAAGAGCCCATCTCGCAGAGTGCATGAATAAATATGGTATACGAGTACACGTCTGGTTCCACAGAAACTCTGGGAGAAAACTCCTTGAAAAGCTCGACAACTTTGCTGAACTTCTTCGCGTTAAAGGCAGCCTTTAAGAGCACATTGAAAGACCTCGCAGTGCGCTCACAATTCAGCTCAGGCATTTCATCAAACATCTTGCGTGCATGTTCGAACATGCCCGATTCGCCATACAAAGAGATGAGGCCATTTGCGAACTCTTCGCCGCGAATGTCGTCGTACTTCTTTTGGGATTCCAGGACGTCTTCGATCATGGAGAACTTCTTGGAGGTGGCGAGACGGCGAACCGTGCATCAGTAGATAGATTGGTTGTTTTGGAAGGTTGGATCTTCACAAGATTTCTTGAAGTTGTTCACCAGTTTCTGGAGCTGGGTTTTCCCCGGGAGAAGCGCTGAAATTATATTTGGGTTTGACTTGGGATTTTGCAAGGACTGAATTGGATTTGGGTTTGAATTTTGTTTTTGCAGAGAGTGATTTAGTGAAGATTTCGTGAAGACGACGACTGACAGAAGACTTTTTTTTTTTTTTTTTGCCTCCTCTTCTGTTCTTTGTTGCGGCGAAGTGGCTTTAAGCCTATAAATACCTTCGTGTTAATTCCTACTTGTACCCCAAAACTTTGCACTAAGAGGAAAATACAAACTGGACAATCTTCCATTACATAATATCGTACGCTAGAGCAAATTTAGTTGCTTCGTAAGGCTATCTTCTTTTTTTTTTTTTTTGCAGTTAAATCTTCGTAAGGCTACCTTATTCCCATATTTAGAAGCATGAAAAAAATTGGCGAAGAAAATGCACGTCATTTCATATTCAAGATTTTCTTTCTTTTCTAACTCTTCATCTTTAATCTGCATCTGCAGAGCTCTCATTTACAACTTCTCATCTTTAATTTGCGGCTCTTCGTCTTTACCATTCAAACTCTTCAATGAAGCAGGTATAATTTCCTTTGCGCTCTCAGACACGGGGCTCTAGAAGGATTAACCCACTTGAGACAAGTACAACTCTCATCAAAATCTTTCTACAAACGCCCAAAATGCTCAACCAAGAAAAAACATGGAAAATCATCGTAACTCTAATAGCACATTGATTCAATACAAGATTCCAATATGGATTTTAGTTGGCCAACCAGCAAAATAGAATCCGAATGCTTAATCGGAGAGTTATAATCCTGCACTGAGAGCCGAGAATTTCAAAATAAGGTTGATGAATATTAGCCCTCCCGATTCGCATAATGTTAAGAGTTCATGGACTCAGAATCCAGAGTTACAAATAAATTCTCATATATTAATTTCTCTGATAGGTTGTATGCAAGAATTGTGCGCAGTTCTGTACGACATAAGATGGCGAACACAATCGGGACTAACAAATTATACAAGCTCATGCAGTCCTGCAGGCAAGACTACAGAAATAGTGCAAGTTTTTCATGTTCCGGATTTGGTCTGTTTTCAGAACAGGTTATAGGGGAACAATCTATCAGAAAAGAATTATGACGAAAGCATGATATGATTAGAAAACAAGGCAACATATGAAATGCCAAAACTATTGGAAGAAGAACAAAAATCAATAATTTTAGAGAAATGCTTGGATGTGGACTCAAATAAATGTCTGCTAGTTCAACATTCTAGCTAACAAGATTCCAAGAACAAGAAAGAATATCATAAAGAGACCAAGACAATCCTATTTCACCAATGGGCAATCACAGTTCATACTTTAAGCCCTTACCAAATTCTCAAGTTCAGACGCTTCTTCAGTCCTTCCCTTCTCTACCAGTGCTTCAGCCACTTGCTTAAACACAGTCCTTTTCAGAAAAAATCCATGATTGTTAGCGTCCAAGCAAAGCTCAAAAGCCTTGTCGAGATCACCCGCCTTGCGGAAAGCTGGAATAAGGATGATGTACGTCGCCAAGTTTGGAGTACATTTATTTTTCTCAATTTCACCATACCATTTCTTCGCCTCCTCTAAATTTCCGCTATCACAGAATCCTTTGATTAGAGCATTGTAACTAAACACATCACTTCTGATTCCATTACTTTCCATTTCGCCAACTAACTTCTCTGCTTCTGATATTCTATTATCACGGAACATTCCTCGCAGCCTTGAATTGTAACTCCTAACATCAGGAACAACATTTTTGCTCTCCATCGTAGCCCATATCCTCTCTCCCTCCGAAAACCGATTATTCATATAAAGTGCATTGAGAAGCGTATTGAAAGTAACAAGATCAGGCTCCTGCCCATTGTCCTCCAATTTCCGAAACAACGAGAGCGCCTCATCCAAAGAACCCATCTCGCAAAACGCGTGAATAACAATGTTATACGAGATCATGTCGGGTTCTATAGAAACTCTAGAAGGCAGCTCATTGAAAATCTCAATAACTTTGTCAAACTTCTTGGCGTCAAGTGCAGCCTTTAAGAGCGCATTGAGCGACTTAACGGTGCGGTCGCAGTTCAGCTCAGGCAATTCGTCGAACACCTTGTGTGCATGGTCAAACATGCCCGCTTCACCATACAGGCCAATGAGGCGGATTGAGAAGCCCTCGCGGCGTATGTCATCGTACTTCTTTTGGTGTTCTAGGATGTCTTCGATCATAGAAAACTTATTGGCGGCGGCGAGACGGCGAACTTTGCGCCTGTAGATGCTTTGGTTGTGTCGGAAGCGTTGAGACTCGCAGGATGTCTTGAACTTGTCGACCAGGTTCTGGAGCTGGGTTTCATGGGAGGAAGCTTTTGTCGCCAAGGATTTGACAGTGACATCGTTTTTGGTGGTGCTTGCTATTGCAGAGAATGATTTAGTAAAGATGCCCAGACGACGATTGACAGCAGACATTTTTGTGTTTGCCTTTTGACAACTTCTTTGACGCTAAAATATATATATTCTGTGCTGTGCTGGGCTTATGTGATGTTACCTTGTTTTATTGATAAGTAGGCTTTTAGACATATCAAATATCAAATTAAGTATTTTATACTTTTTAAAAAAAAAATACAATCTGAATATTTAGAGGTCAAAAATCTTTATTTTATGTTTTTTTTTTTCTTAAATATCACTGAATGCTTTGAGGATTTCTCTTTTTTTTTTTTTTTTTTTTTTTAGGATTGAAAATTTTCCTCATATTTCAGCATAAAATTATATTAAAAGATGTAAAGTAGTAAAGTTAAAAACCTATATTATATTTGTAAATGCGTAAATCACGTTTTTTTTTATTTTGTATTATTTTCAGAATTCAATGAGTTCAAGAAATTAATTTGGAGTTTTTTTAAGAAATAAAGAAATTATGTGAGGTGCCGATATATAAATGGGCTTCATTTTCCTTTTGTTTTGGTAACTATGATATTGGTATGATATAAAAATGGGAGTACGAATCCACTAATTCGATAAAATACATGGTAATAAAAAATATAATTTTTCAAAATAAAATATATTTAAATATTATGCAATTATAGATAGACCTTCAAATTACATTGAAATCCTATCCAAAAAAGAAATATGTGCATTATTTGATACCGAATTGGTCATTATATAAAAATGGAAGTACCAATCTACTAATTCAATAAAATACACGGAAACAAAAAAAAATGTAATTTTTAATATAAAATATATTTAAATGTTATGCAATTATGGACCTTCAAATTACACCAAAATCCTATCCAAAAAAGAAATATTCTAAAAAATAATGTACTCTTTTGGACAGGAAAACCCCTTTTCCCAACAAAAAACAAAAAAAAAAAAAAAGAACAAAGAAAGAAGTAGGGCGCAATATACGGCCATTCCAATTCTAACGTTTCTAGTCGGTCAATCAGAAACTGAGGCCTCGTTCATTTTGCAGATTCGAGCTGAGATGTGACATTTTCTGAGAGCTTTTCACTGTAACAATAAAAATTTAGATGTGACATTTTCTGAGAGCTTTTTGCTGTAAACACTTAAAACTGAAAACTCGAATCGGTGAAATGAACGAGACCTGAATGTTCACAGTAGAAATTCCGGAAAACCGATCTGATGTAGTTGCAACTCAAGAACATCAAGTAGACCAATCACCAATCTTTGTTTGCTTCCTCACACATGCTGAGAATTGTGCTCCTTCACATCTCCCGTGTGAATAAATTATCCAGTTTCTTACAGTTATAAGCTTCCGGTGGTTAATAAGGAAGCCACAACCAAATAATATATATGGCTTGAAACAACTTTGAGTTTGCTGTTTATGGGAGAAAATAAAAATAAAAATAAAAATAAAAAAGGCAATCTCAACCAAGAATCAAAATAAGCACGAGCAATTCCCACAGCCTAAGGGAGAATGTAACGGTAGTCTTGTCTTTTAAGGTTAAACATCAGCTTTTTCTTACATAAGAATTCAGAAGCAGCCATTCAAATATTCTGGTAGTTAAGTTCCTTCCACAATGTTCTATGAAGTAAGAAATCTCAAACCAGACATTACTAAACGAGTATATGCAGAGAGGTAAGACCAAGTACTCTGCCACAAAAACTTAGGTGCCAACCAGAAAAAAAAAAAGTAATGAAGAAATCATCAATCTTATCAGCAAGATAAAAGAACAAATAAATTACTAAAATTATTCAAAGAAGACAAACCAAAAATGATAGTTTCATTGCACTACTTGTCTAGAGGCCTTTTGTGAGGGGGGAAAAAACGAGGGAATTATTCAAACTCCCAACTCAATGCAGAAAAAGAAAAAAATAAAAATAAATAAAAAGAAAGGTTTTTCTTTCTTCAGAATTTGCTTCTAAAACCACAAAGGATTTAACCTGCAATGGCACGCACTAGTTGTCCAAAGGCAACTTCAGGCGGTACCGACGATAATCATTGTTCTTCCCGAGCTCCACAAGTTTCTTTGCTTCTTCAACTTTGGACTCCTTAACCAGCTCATCCACTACACGCTGCAACAATGCCACATCTAGAACGAACCGCCTCAAGAAAACTTCCTGGCTGAGTTCATAAGCAAGATCCAAATCACCTTGCTTACGAAGAAACGGAATAAGTTTCTCAAAGGTTGTCTTATTAGGCACACGCTCACTCTTTCTCATTTCACTGTACCACTGCTTAGCTCCATCCAAGTTCCCCTCCTTAATAAAACCTTCAATCACCAAATTGAAGCTAAACACATCAGGTTCGATCCCCTTAGCCTTCATTTCGCCGATCAAATCAACCGCTCCGTTCACTTTCCCATTATAAGCCAATCCAAGCAACTTGGCATTGTAGCTCCTAATGTCAGGAACGACAAACTTCTTCTCCATCAGATCCCATATTCGATCACCATCAGCAAAACGATCACTCCCGTAGAACGCATTCAATAGCGTATTGAACGAAATCACATCCGGCTTCAGTCCCTTCTTCTCCATCTCATCAAGCACGGAAACCGCCGAATCCAACGAACCTTTCTCGCAAAACGCCTTGATCACGGTATTATAAGACACCAAATCCGGTTCTATCGCCAACTTGGCCGGAAGCTCCCCGAAAACCCCGTCAACCAAGTCGAACTTCCTCGAGTTAACGCAAGCCCCCAAAAGGGCATTAAACGACAACACTGTCTGCTTGCAGTTCCTCGTGGGCATTTCGTCGAACACCTTCTGGGCATTCTCGAACATGCCCGATTTGCCATAAAGTGATATCAGTCGGACGGCGAAGCCTTCTTTGGAGAAATCGCTGTACTTCTTCTGGTCTTCCAGGATCTCTTCGATCCATTTGAAGCGTTTGGCGGAGGCGAGGCGGCGAACGGTGTCTTCGTAAATGCCGGTTTTGGTGCGGAAACGGTCGACTTCGGAGGACTTCTTGAACTTCTCGACGAGGCGTTTGAGGTTGCGTTCTCTGTAGAGATGGGTCGAGGCCGACTTGATGACGGCGGCGCCGTTGGCCTGGGCGGAGGTTGAGAAGGCGCGTTGGAGGAGCTGAGAAAACGACATATTATTTTCTTTGCGGTCTACACTACTCTAGGACTTTGGGGCGTTTTGGTGGGGCGGGGGTTTTGCCTTTGCGTTGGTTGGAACTACTTGGGAAGAGAAACGAGCGAAACACAAAAGCCACTGAAAATTATTATTTTTAAACGGAATTTTACACATTTATCTTATAAGGTTTTAACAACTTACCCACTAAACTTTTAATTTTTATAATTTACCCTCTAAATTTACGAAGTTGTTATAATATGCCCTATTTTATTAATCTTACTCTAATTTTTTTAATCAGATTTAAAGGATTGATAGTTTGAGAATCAAGAGGTTCAAGTGATAGTTTGAATTGAGATATTAAAATTTTTTGTTAAATGTATTTTTGTCACTGCTTTTATATAATCATTATAAAAATAAGACACAATATAAAAATATTACAAATTAAGAAGATAAATTGTCAAAATTAAAAATTCAGATGGTAAGTTACCAACCCCTCAAATTTTAGGAGTAAAAGTATAAAAAATACTCTATTTTTAAAGGGCCTTGCAGTCAGATGAAACCTTATGAGTAAAAATCTTCTTAATATATATATTTTTTAATTGCAGTCAGATTTAATTTTATGAATAAAAATTTTCTCAAATTTATATTTTAATGGAAATAACAGTCAAAATCAATAAAGTTCGTTGAAATTCACAAAGTCGTCACATGGCTACACACAATTATCTTACTTTTCCTATTGATTTGTGAGTAAGGGAAGAAATAATAATAGGCCCCAATCCCTCGCTCAAAATTACATTTTTTGTCTAAATTTTAGTGTCTCAAACCAACCACATTATATCATGTTATTTGATGGACTTAGATATCAAAAGAGAGACGAGCTAATTAAAAATTATTTTAGTTTTTTTTTTTAATGACATGACATATAAAATGTAGCTGCTTAGAAACTATTTTGACAACAAAATTGGATAAGAGTAATGTCTCCCTTCTTTGCATTCAGACCAATTTTTTATTTCTTAAATAATGTCTGACTGATTATATTTTTTCACATCATATAATAGACACATATGTTAAATCACGAAAAAAGTTAATAAAAAGAATTTTTTTTTTTAATTTTAAATGCTATGGCATAATATAATTAGTGAAATACCATTTGGAGCAGCAAAATTGGACGAGGCATCTATATTCCCTTCCCACCACTCCATTCAGAGACCTATTTCCACTTTAACAATTCTACAGAAATTTATCAAATTTTAACATTTTGAAGCACCATTATCTATAAACAAAAATTTAACAAAATTTTTGTTCATAAGATTAAGGAATATAATGATTTTGGTACTTTGTGTTATAGCAAAACATATTTTTAATACCCTGTGTTTTAAGTAATATTAAAAATGTAACTCGACGTTTTAAAAACATCTTAGTACTTTGAAACTGATTTTTAAAACATGTGGTGTCCATACTACCCGTCTTTTTAATTAAATAGAAATAAATATTTTTTAAAACATCTAAAAATATTTTAAAACATTAAAATATTTAAAAAAAACAACAAAATAAAAGAGTTACTGATTTTCTTATATAGATTTTTAACTTTGACTAATTAAATAGAAGGGTATTAAGGTTATTTTACATTTCAAAAATCAGCTTTAGGGTACCGAGACATTTTTAAAAACGTCGATGTACCGTTTTAATATTATCAAAAATATAGAATACCAAGAACATGTTGTGCTATAACATACCAAAATGATTTTATCCCTAAAATTAAATAAAGGATCAAATGCTCACTCACTTTAAGTTTTATTTACATTTTTTTTTTTTTTTACATTTAATTATACCTCGTTATTTAAACTTTGCTTACTTGTATCTATTATTTCAAAATTTAAAACTCAAATAGACAAAAATTAAGATACAATACTATTTAAGGTTATATATTTTGAGAAATAAACAAAATAAAAAGACAAACTGTAAGGGGAGAAAAATATTTATGCTCCTTAAAAAACATTTTTTGTTCCGTCCATGCTTAATGAGATAATAGTTATCATATTTAAAATAAAAAAAAATAAAAAAAAAAGAGAGAGAGAGAGACCATACAGAAATATATGCCACTAGGACTTCCTAATGTTTGTACACTGCCCAAGCTGCTTGGTGTACAACAGCCAATAGATGATTGTTTTGAACATCACTAGGGTGTAGACACTGGCTACTTGTGGTTCAAAAAGGGGGGGGGAAAAAAAATAATCTCCTTGAGGTTTAGCTTCTTACGGAAAAACATAGCACATCTTTGGCATTGCCTAACAATTTAGTTGTACTTTGCAGGAATATGCCTCCCAACAAACCTCACTCATTTGTACTTCACTACTTCTCTAGTCAAGTATAAGACAAGACCATTAACCACCATGAAAGTTAAAGCGAACGCTAAAATCGTAAAGACAAAAGCCCGTTTAGTTCGTTGATTTAAATTTTTAATTTGAGTTGAGATGTGACTTTATATGAGAGCTTTTTACTGTAATAAAAAAATTAGATGTGATTATTTTTTAGAGTTTTTTACTGTAATAAAACTCAAATCGGTGAAATGAACAGGACCAAAGACCACATTGGCACAACTCACCTAGCCCCATACAAAAATTATAAATTTTACGGTGGAATCAAATATGAAATTACTGCTTTATGTCTGCGAACCATAATAAAATGGAAAACCATAATATATATTTATTTTACATCCACCAGTCGCATATGAGAACCCAAATTTTGCATGTGATTGATTGAAAGCCAAAATATAGCCAACTGGAATTAATAACTAAAACTGAATGCTTTTTCTCTCTCGCCAAAGTTAGTTGGGTTCTGAAGCGTGCCAAGCATCAAAATCATAACCAAAGCATCTCACTCTCTCTCTCACTCACACACACAAAAGGACATGTTACCCTTGTGACTACCAGTTATATATTCAAGTAGTATATGAACCCCCTGAAATGAAACACTAACAAGACATTGCAAGAGCTCTCTTATTCCCCCCTTTGGCACAAACTACTTTCTCTGCAGAATGGATCAGTTCATTGGATCTGCTATGAATGAATTGTTCATTAGCGAACGAGGAAGGATTGGTCATAAGAGACGGACCAACAGGAACGGACCGTGTACCTCCAAGAACCTTGAGGCGGAGCGGAGGAGGAGGGGGAAGCTTCACGATCGGCTGATGGCATTGCGCGGAGTGGTTCCTCAAATTACAAATGTAATTACACCAAAAACGTCTTCTTCTTTTTTTTTGTTTGGCATTATTTCTCATCTTAGTGATCGTTTTTCCCTCTAAAAGAAAAACATTCATGATTTACTGTGTTATCGGGGCTTGTTTTAGATGAAGAAAGCAACCATTGTCGAAGACGCGGTCGCTCATATTAAGATGCTGCAGCAGACTGTGGTACATCTCAAGGACCAGCTTTGGGATGAGGTTGCTTCACCGGAGGAAGGCATTGAGCTAAAGAATGAAGAATTTTGTGCTGCGGAAGAGATGAACTCACTTGGGATTCAGGTTCTATCAACTACATTGATAAGGTTACTATTGTCTCTTCATGACAATTCTGGTTTTTAACTTAACAGTGCTGCTATTGATGTTTGTAGCCGGATATTACCGTGATACAAATGTACGAGAACAAATTCTGGATAAAGGCGATATTCGCGAAGAAACGAGGCGGGTTCACAGAATTTATGGATGCCGTAACTGCTTTCGGTTTTGAACTCACTGATACCAGTTTAACTACCATCAATGGAGCCATGCTTGTTACATCCTGTCTTGAGGTGAGAAATTGGAGCAGGAATATGAAAATTTTTCTCTACTCAGTCTACTCGTGCTTGGTTAATTTCCTCTTCCAAAGTTTTAATCGAAAGTTTCGTTATTTCAGGGAGTTTCTTGTGAAAAGCTTTCAGTTGAAGAAATCAAGCAAGTTTTGCTAGAGATATAGTTAAAGGCACATGCATTGACCGATTATGATTTCAGCGTATGTTGAAATTCATAGAAGTTTTAATCTTAGTATTCTCTTTTTTAGGTTGGAATTTTTTAATGAGATAGCAACTGAGAAACAATATTACATATAACCAAATATAAAGTATTTACATAGTAATTAAGCAGTATAAGCAATTTGGCTATAAGGCTAAAACCTTAGCAATGGAATGGATTTTAAAATGTTTGAGTTCTGCAGGCCAAATCCATCATATCCAGTAATTATATTATAGATGACTTATAGATCTAAAGTTTAACATAAAATAAGGATCATAAAAGAATATGACTCTTCCTTTGAAATTAAGTAGAGCATTCCAATTCTAGGGGGAAAAAAAGGGAAAGTTGAGCATTCCAAAATAAGTTTCAAACGCAATATTAATTCCAAAATAAGTTTCAAACGCAATATTAGTTCCAAAATTCGATTCCAAACCTTATACCCATTTATACAGTTCTTCTATCCCGATAGCTTCAAAGAACAAGGAAGCATATTTACTCAATCAAATTGAAAAAAAAAAAAAATGAACAATATAAAGGAACAGAACAATATCACTCAGATAAAAGGTATTAACTTCCATCTCTGAGCTTGAAAGAACCCCATCTTCCTCATCTCTGCATTCCAAGTTTAACATTAATTCTAAGTCAATTTCATACGCCATAACGCTAGGAAATTTAAAAACAAAAATAAAAAGAGGAGCAAATACTGGTTAATAAAAGTTTATACAAAAAAAAAATAGCGGAAATTGGCCAAACAGAAATTTCCCAAAAAAAAAAATTCAAAAAGCGTACCTTGAGGCCTGCAAACAGGAGGATCTTCAAAGAGAGAAAGGGAAAGCTGCTTATAGGCGACACCAATATCGAACAAAATGAGACCAGACGACGGGTCGTTTACGGTTATGCCCTTGACGGGAAGCCAAAGAAAGAGCTCTTCCTGGGACATGCCTTGGAGACCACTAAGCCCACCGAAGGTGAGATTTGCTCTGACGACACTTTCGTAGAAAACTCTGGTCTCGAACTTGGACAAGCACGGCCATTCGAGGTGAACTTCAAGACGTCCGAGGTGGTCGAGATCGTACGACTTGACGTTGTCGGGGAAGAGACCCGCCGGCAAGCCATGGCTCTGGAGGAGGTTGTGGAGAGAGGAAGTTGAAACCAAAGGTTGAAAAAGAAGAAGAAGAAGAAAGAGAATGAGAAAATATATGGGTTTTGGAGACATTTTTTCTGGTTTTTGATTGAATCGAGATCAGAAAGAAGAAGAATTAAGGGGTGTTTGAAGGACACAGAGATGAACTTCTGCTGTGTTTTGTTTGTTTGTTTGAAGGTGTCTGAGAGGCAAAGGGTTTTAAGATTTTTGTCCTTTAGGAAGCTATGATGGAATCTGGGGCCCGCATTGCAGCTGTCAAATATTTCTGATTTTTTCTTTTTTTCTTAATGTTAATTTGATAGGAGATCCTCTTGCTAGGAAAGAAAAATTGGTAAGGCAGTTTCTTATTTTCGGCCGTATATATCGGTTTGACATATATTTTTCTTTTCAATTTGTGTAATTTTAATCAAATACGGTTATAAATTGACTTTATCAATTAAAAACATTAACTAAAATATTCCTAATTTAATTTAATGTTTCTTTAAAAAATAAGAAAAATTAAAAATTAAATCGCCATTTTATTTTGATGTAGCGATTGTAGTATGTTAAACCTAATTAGGCCCCGTTCATTTCGCTGATTCGAGTTTAGAATTCGAGTTTTGCTACAGTAAAAAGCTCTCACAAACAATCACATCTAACTTTTTTGCTACAGTAAAAAGTTCTCACATAAAATCACATCTCAACTCGAATTAAAAACTCGAATCAGCGAACTAAACGGACCCTTAGTTAGTTTATGTCCGTTTATAGAATGTTCTAAACTTCTGATTAAATTTAAAAAAAAATCCCGTAAAACATGATTTATTTGTCACTTGATTAAATGTGGACGGTTTGAACATGAATATCCACATTAAACATAGAATAATAATATACAAATAAAATAACATGGTATTATACGGATAAGATTACACCATTTGTAGACCATACCGCTTAATTTAAATGTTATTAAATGATGTGTAGTAAAAGTCTCAATTTTGGTACTAACATGGCATGTTCTAAACTATCTTATTTTTCATTGTTAATATTTTTTTGACGAATTTTATTAATCAATGGTTATCTCATTCGATTCGCTAATTTGAGTTGAGATGTGATGTTGTGTGAGAACTTTTTACTGTAGTAAAAAAATTAGATGTGATTATTTCTGAAAATTTTTTACTGTAACAAAATTTAAATTTTAAACTCAAATCAGCGAAAAGAACGGAACCTCGCATAAGCTAGTCTTTGCTTAGCTGCTTCTTGAGAAGGAATAATAATTGGCATAAAAATCCGAAAGGTTGCTGATTTGGTTTTGGAATAATTGGTTGGAAGGTGAGGGTAGATAAGTATTAATGGAAATCGCATCAACTTACCTTGAACTCTTTTAGACAACAAAACAAGTTAATGATGTCACTCTTATAATTTTGGTCAGCATAATAGTACAATGAACACAGGAAACGATGGTTAACCATATTATTATTGTTATTATTATTATTATGAATTTGTTCAGTTATATTTTTAAGTTATAATGATTCAAATATAGATTTTGAGTTGAATTTAAATTATAATTTGAATTGAAATCGTAACTTAAGTTTGTGTTGGTTGTGTACATTTAAGTTATGGTTTGAGATGAAAATCTTTTTGAATTTGTGTTTAAGTGAGTCAAAACTTGAGTTTATATTTAGATAATATTTTAATAGGGTATATGAGTAGAGTTTTATTCGTCTTTTCATTGTGAACGCATAAAAAAATCATCTTAATCGGAATTAAAACAAAAAAGTTATAACGTTTTTAAAAATAAAAAAATATTGTTTATTAACTTGAGTTTGAGTTTAAGAATTTGATTTGAAAGGGAAACTTAAACTCATATTTTAATCTCAAACTCAAGTTAAAATTTAAAGCTACGTTTAGAGTAAGGATTCGTGCCATAATTCGTGGCTCGCTGCAGTATTTTTTCTTATAAAAAATATACATAAATTAAAAATACTTTTAAATTATGATTTTAAACCCATAAATTAAATGTAGATTAAGTTAAAACTTAAATTTTACAAAAATAAAATAAAATAAAATAAAATAAAATTATAACTTAATTTTAAACTTTTTTTTAATTTAATATGAACGAACAAATCCTATAATTTTTTATTAGCATTGCAATACTAATTGAGGACCACCTTTCTTTCCTTTATGACTTTTTTTCACTCTGGATCTACAATGATATCGTCGTACATTTATATTTATTTGAATGTCCGGTGCTTGTCTTTGACCTGAACCCCTTCACAGTTTATTTTTGCTCATTCATATTCCTGATGTCGCTTTATCTTTAAAACCCGAGACCTACCATTCAATCATTTCAAGTTGAGTAGTACTACTCACTTCTCAAAGAAGGTCCAAATACAGTTTTTAGGATTATTTTCTACGGCTACCGTAGGATTTGAAAACAGACCTTAATAATTTAAGAGTTCTTTTTTTCAACCATGAGACATGCATTAGGAGACTTTCTCCTGTAAAACTGATTTATAGATAAGGTTAATTTTTAACCGTTGAATTTAATTAAATTATATTAAATTAAAAAGTATTTAAAATAAATAATTTGTGATATAATTTAAGCGATTGCAGTAAAAAGCAACTGGTAATTTATTTTTTTTAATCTTATTAGAAAAACTCTAATATATTAGTATTATTAGTTTTATTTTTTTTTATTTTAATGAAATTTTAACCAGATTTATTGTTCAAAATATGCATGTCCGTTTGGTAAAGGGATTCGAACCATGATTTGAATCATGGTTCATGGTTCACTACAGTGTTTTCTCTCACAAAAAATAGTCGTAAATCGAGAATGATTCTTAATCATAATTCTGAATTTATGAACCAAACATCTACGAAGATATCCTATTGTAAAAAGTTCTTTACTTTAACATAAAATTTTGAATTTACACCGTAGAAATTATGAAACTAATTGGAAATTTAGAACTATACAAAGATCAATAGTCATTTTGTGGTGATAAATCGTAAGAGACCATTGTTAAAAGAAAGATAATTTGGAGACATTTGGTTCATGAATTAGAATCATGTGATTAGAATTATTTTCGATTTACATTTATTTTTTGTGAGAGAAAATACGAACTATGAACCATGATTCAAATCATGGTTTGAATCCTTCAACTAAGCATCCCCTCAATATGATGTTGATGCGACAGCCAGCATAATCGAGTGATTAGCATTGGATCTAACTTGTTGGTGACTGGTGAGTGACATTATTGTCTTTGACGACTGATGCTTCCATTTGATCAATAATCATAATGACCCATTTGCTGAATTTGTCTGCCGATCATTATCCCTAATGCAAAACATAAAATTGAAATGTTAAATGCAAGCGACCAAAGAGGTAGAGGGACCTTCATAATCAAATTACACATAACATCAACATACTTATTGATAGTGCATTATATACGATTGCTTACAAAATCCAAGTTCCATCACAATATACCAATGAGTTTAGCTGCTTTTCATTCTTTGGAGATTTCTACAGTAAGACTTGAAAACTCAAATGACTGACAAGTTTTTTTTTTCAGTTTTAACAGTCAGATCTGTATAAAAAATTACAATTTCGTATACTTTTTTGATGTAATTTTAATCAGATCTAATGATTAAAAACTTACATTATCGGTGAAAACTCCTACCGTACAGGGACCCCTTTTTTTATATCCTGCAGCCTTATTAGAGATTCTCATTCGTCAGAATATGTTGAAATTCTGAGACCATGAATGTTCCTCGTGATCATACTGATCCTGCCTAGTAATAGGCTGGGCTTGATAATGCCTTTGGTAACAATGAACTGGCTGACCAAAACTCCCTCCACCATCTCTTCTCTCCACATACGGATCTGAACTTCCAAAAAGATATTCAGCAGCTCCATTCCAATGGTAATTATAACCATAACCATAACCATAGCCACAACCATATTCTCCTTCATGACAATTACCATTATTTGCTCTCCTTGCATAACGAGCAAAGCAAGGCCAATACCCAAAAATGCTCTCACAAAGGTCCATCGCTTCCAATCCATATCCGCTTGGAATTTGACTCACCTGATTCCCATATTCATATCCATTTCCACCACCAACTTCTTCTGTTCTTTCCTTATAATTAGTACCATTTTCTTCATGGCCTAATTCCTTCTTCGCTTCTTCTTCTTCTTCTTCTTCTTCCTCCTCCTCCTTAACCGTCTCCTCCGGTTTGCTCTCCTTCTTGGTCTTCTCTGCTTGACTCTCATGATCATCGTGAGCCTTCTCTCTCTCTTTATCCTTGTCGTCGGAAGTCAGGACGTTTGTGATCTCCGCCGTTGAACGAGGATAACAGATTTGATCCGTCGGTGGAAGTGGCTTCCCGTAGGTTTGCGCAATGTCATAGCCACCATCATAAGGGGTTGGATCGTAGTCATCAAAATCAGGAACGTTGAATGCAGAGACAGAGTAAGATGTTACAAATTGTGTCCGAGGTTTCTGATCATAACTGATCACATGGCAAGAATTCGGCTCATACACGATCGATTTGGACTCAGTGCGGGTGAAGGTAGAGTAACAAGTGGTTGACCAGCTTGGAGTATATTGATCATAGGAACGATTGTAGGCATGATAATAAGGAGTTGGATCATAGTCAAAGAGGTTATAGATGCTTGGATCTTTGTTATAAGAAGAGTAATTAGCTACCGAGTCTAATGAATTATTAGAAAAAGCACCATAAGAGTTTTGAATTTGATGGTACTCACCGAGATCATTATTACTCTGGTAATAGCTTGAGTTATAGTAGGCCATTGATGATGATCAATATCCACAAGATTGATGCCGTTTTTAGGAGTTAGCAAATGCTTGTGAGTGGAAAATATGGAATAATCAAGTGATGTTTTGGACTGAATTCTTCAAGGACATTAAAGGGGAAAAAAATGGGGGCTTCATAAATTGCTGCACATCTACCTAATTACTAATGTTTTTCTTCCACACGATTCTTATCTCTAACAACTAAAAATCCATGTACAAGCATGGAAAACATGAGAATTGAGAATGAACTTATCTACTTTGTGATCACATGGCTGTGAACATCATTGAAACTTTAGGAACTTGGAAGATAGTGGTGTTTCACTGCAATGGTCCATTTAACTTTTACTTTATTTTGAGAGGCAAGAGTATTAAATTCGATGGCCATATAATTGAAGAGGTTTGCTTTTTCAAGCGCACTAGATAGTGATCTGACGTGGGCTTGGATATGCAGGAAACGAATCAGAAGAAGCTTTCATTTCATTTCCTTTTCGTTTTATTTGTTGATTAATTAGCCAAAGAATATGGTTATTTTGCCATAAAATGGCCGAACAAACCGTGACCCACTTTTGTTGGCTTGTCAATTTCACGGTCCCACTAGAACACTTGATTGATGCATCCAGTTGCCCTCTTGTTTTTTTGTTTGGAGAATTTGCTGGGGTATAGCAAGGTGGGTAGAGGTGAATAATTAGACACCAGAAGTGGTATATAATCTACTTTAGACTAAGATCTTCATCAGCATATGTTAAATATTCTTGCGTTACTTAATAATCTAGTGTCATTTTAATTTGATCCGATGTTTTAAAATTGCACCTGAATTTGATCTGATGATTTAATATTACGTTCTATTACCCTACCACGAAATTCTCTTTTTGTTTAAAGGTGAATAATTAGACATCAGAAGTGGTATAAAATCTACTTTAGACTAAAACGCGGGCCGACATTTTTAATCTTTAGATCTTCATCAGCATATGTTAAATATTCTTGCGTTACTCAATAATCTAGTGTCATTTTAATTTGATCCGATGGTTTAAAACTGTACCTGAATTTGATCTGATGATTTAATATTACGTTTTATCATCCTACCACGAAATTCTCTTTTTGTTTCAAGTACTTTATGTATGAAGTTGTCTAATGTTTCATATATCTAACACACCCCAATTAATGACACTGAATTATATTATTATGATTATGACTTGTAACGACATATACTCTCATTTAGTATGACATTATCTACTTTCAGTCTAAGTCCGCATAATTTTATTTTTAGGCTTTATCCTCAAAAATCTTTACTATTAGGAAATGGTGTTTTAATCATAAACCATTACATATAACCTTTCTCATGCACTTAATATGCCTCAAAAGATTGACGAGTATCATAATTATCACACTTTTTGAGCGAAGCGTACTTCATTTGGTATGATATTGTTTATTTTGGGTCTAAACTGCACTATTTTACTTTTAGACTGTACTCTAAAAGACTTTATATTATCGAGAAATGGTGCCCTTACTAATGAACCACCACTTATTATAATATTTTTTATGTAGGGTGTGACTGCACAGCTTATTATAACTATTTGACTATCTCATACTTGGTACAACCTATATCTCTACCACACGTGGAAGTCTACAAGTAGGTCTTAGTAAATCGTAATACTGGTAAATACATCATGAACATATTAGTAGTCAATAATAGATCCCTAAAGAAAATTTGATAATCAAGTCATATTTATTTAATCTTAACCGTTGAGTTCACATAACATTCAATTGACTTCCAAATTTGTTTAAAACCTATTTACCTAAAGTTTCTTTTCCTTTCTTTTTTGAACTTGAGTGTGGAGATTTGAACTTTACATTTTGATAGAGTCATGTATGAAGTTATTGATAGATTATGACTACATCCACATTCTTCAATTCTTTTTCACATGCATTGAAGATACAGTACTTATTCGTTACTTGAAGAGTGCAGGGGCACAAATCAATTTCTACAAATACAAATATAAGGGAAAGCTATAGTCCTCATATGAGCTATTCTTTGAGGGTGCGTTTAGTTGCAGTGGGAGAATGATAATAGGAATGAAAATGAGAATAGTAATGGAATAAAATAGAAAGAAAAGATGATTTATTTGTTTGGTTATACTTTTACAAATGTAACAGAACATCACATCTATATCATATAATATAATATAACATAACATAATATAATATAATATTATTATTTATAAAATATTTAATTTTATAAAAAAATACTACTATCCCAATTATTATTATAATTATTAATTACAATATCACAACTATATTATATTATATTATTTTACAATGATAAATATAATAATAATAATTATTATTAATTACAACATCACAACTATATATTATATTATATTATCTTATAATGATAAATATAATAATTATTAATTACAATATTA